CATTAATATGTTCACATTTGCTTTGAGGGTACGGCTGGCAAAGGTGAGCTTCAATGTATGTATTCATCCATTATAATACAAAAATATGTATTAGTTGGTTATGATTTGATTTAATAATTTGGATCTCTAAAATAACTGTCAGATACATGCATACTGTGGTGTATAGAATAAAGTAAGGTAAAAATATTTAACTATATTGAGTTAAAGCAGAAGACAGATCAGTGAAGACTGCAGCTGTTCTGCAGCGTGACACAGGGGGGCAGCACAGTACCACCATTATCTCCAAACACAGTCTGTCTTGTTGCTCACTTAAATTCAAAATACTGCTGTGACAGGGTACAGTAAACAATCCAGTAAAGCATTGATAATCTATGTTAAACCATAGTGTTAATTCTGTGATCCTTTACCATTTTTCCCTGCTGGAATATTAACATAAACCAAATTCCGTTTTACAGCCAAATTGACATAACTTATTCAGTGTATTTTTTGACATTAGTTTTAAAGAACAAGCCATTAGCATGGTTATCAAGCCAAATTAATATTTTAAAATGAATTAAATGTGCATGTTTTATTACAACATACACCACATTTCTGCATTATTCTGTGCCGAATGTTGAAATGCTCAAGTCACTTGCATGCGTGGATAGATTAACTGTGTGAAATACAAAAAGCTATTTCCCTTTGACTGACATCCTTGACAAGGTCAAAAAATAAGCAGTGCTTCTTACATGTTGTGCTCTATATACAGGGTTGGGTTTCATACAAAAACAATAAGCCATCATGTTGTTTTCCCTTCTCTCCTGGGCATTTTCTTGGGTTTCCAATCCAACAAAGACACAGACTTCAAGAAAATAATATTCTCTATTTAAAATCAATCAGGTTATTGATTTTTTTTATTCTAAGAAAGTACCTTTATAAACAAACCCTGTTCTTCAATAATCTGAATGTTACAATCTAATATCATTCATGGCAACAATCAAACATTATTTGGAAATTGCCCTTCTGCTGGGGGAAAAAAAGAAAAGAAAAATAAGGTTTCTGGCTTTTTGAAACATGACACACTGAGGGACAAATCACAAACTTGCCTTTGATGATGGCCTCACTTTCCTGCCAGTGTTAAAACTGGAGCTTCAGATTACAGCCGGCACTCTCACAGGTTTTGTGATGCAGGCCAGATTGTGTGACTAAGATGTCTGTTTGTTGAGTCTGGATGTTTCAGGTTGATCAGATAGAGACAGCTCTATCAGGCAGATCTACGTTTGGTGGTGGGCCGGAGCCATTAAAAGTCTGGGAGCAAAACAACCTGCGGGAAACATTCACAAAGCTCAGGAGGGATTGCACATAGGTGTTTGATAAAGGGGCTTTCCTGCAAACATGACAACTGGCAGATGAGGTCCAACACAGGGTGCAATGCGAGAGATATTTATGGATCATGCTTTAATGCCAAAATAACACGTAATGCATGATCAAATGTACTGTGAAGAAAAGCAACATGAGAATAAATGAGACCGTGAGCATTGTTTTGGGTGTGTATGCACATGTTTTCCTCATACCCATGGGTGTATGATTTCACCATATATGTTAAAGAAAAGGCAGGTGACTGGAACACAAGTAATACTATACATTAGCTAAATAGGTAATTTGCTGGTTGAATTTGTAAAATAAGTAGGATGGTGATGGATTCAACACATGTATTAATTTCATGAGGTCATCTTATCCTGTGTGCTTGGAATGGCGTGTTTGTTTGTTAGCGTTTCCGTTTCATATTTGATTTCAGCACTACCTCATGAGAGGGGGAAGTGAGAATCAGAGAATAGCAAACACACACAGCAGACATTTAACTTTTTACAGTATGAAAACAATGATATTCTTGTATTTAAGTGTCCAATTAAGCCATGATAGAAGTTTCCATCTAAGTTAGCGCAAATTGCATCTTATTTTACCAGTATATTATTGTGATTCTGAATCTCTTTTCCAAGGGAGTACTTTCCAAGCCAACACATTTTAAATAAATGAACAAACGACACAATTAAAACAATAAAGAAATTGCATCAAACTATGGATGAAACTAATTTAAAATTGAAGCACATTGACTTCAACACAAAGCAGCAAGATAACATAGTTATCCAGTCAAACCTCAAACAATTGAAAACAAAGAGGAACTAGGACATTTCAGTTTTTTTATTTGGTAGAGGTTACATTCTCCTTGTTATTCCTCATTGGAAGCGTTAGTGATGTGTAAGTCATATGCTTCGTGTGCTTTATGATAAATGTAAGCCTTTTTCCACATTCCATTTGCTCTCCACTCAGGTGTTTTTATGTGAAAATTGAAAATACACTTAAAACTGGTGGATGGATACACTCGACAGCGAGCCACGATAACCTGGGACTGTAGCAGCTAAATGGGATTCAGCTATCATTCATTTTATTATTTATACCTGCATTCCTCCTACTTTGACTTGTCGAAATGTCTTCAATGAAAAAGGATTATATTCCTCCCCAGAATTTCTGTTTGGCAGTTAGTTTGTGACCTTAAATGATCAATACCAATCTTTCTATAACCCGAGCTAAGAGTTGATGTTGCATCACCTTCATAATTCCACCAAGGACTCTGCAGCAATGCTAGTGATTCTATGTGGTTTTATTACTCATTGTGTTAGATAGATACACACAATTACTGAACAGGTTTAGAGAGGGCATCAAAACCAAATCACTTTAGAAATAGCCACCTAAGGGCCCTTACCATCACCGTGTTGTGTTTTAAAAGTGTGTATTACCTCACAACACACAGAGTAATTGTTATCCAGACAGCCTAGCCTTTCGGAGAGGATGCCTACTTTGTCAGGTTGTAAATTCAGCCTGAGATGTGTCTTATGCTGTGTCTGCTTTATCAGTAGCAGAAATGCATGAGGACCGTGGAGCTAGAACAATAGAACTTTATAACTCCATCTGTTGAGGAAGATTTATTTAATTCAAAACTCAATAAAAGCGGATAAACGGACATTGTGTAGATACATCAGATTACACATGCAAACAATCAGTAATACTATCTTTTATTGCATGGTATACTCTTATTGTGTTGAGGAAAAAACAGCAAGGAATAGAGAAATAATAAGAAAGTAAGAAAGAAAGTCGCAAACTAAATTATTTATTGATTGAAACCACCAATTGAATGACTCAGAAAGTGGATTCTTCACAGCTCTCTGTATTGTTGTGGAAATATTTTCCAAGGCCCATAACTTTGACCCAGTGTATCAGTTCAAACTGTCCTGACTGAGCACAGGCACCTGTAACCTTGGCTGCTGTGCTCTCAGTGTTTTGTCTCCCTGTTCCTGCCTGTTGGCGTCAGCTGATAGAGGTGTTATCATTCTATCTTGTTATGCAGCATGTTGATGATGCTCTCTGAACTAGCTAAATACATGGGTCTGGGGTAGAGTTCTTCAGAATTGACGTGGCAACTCTACCGTGAAGTCAGAACCTCTGACTCTTGGACTTGTGATGTGAATCCTCCGGCCGTTAACTCCAAATAAACCATCATGTGTTTGACATCAAAGCTACTGCTCTTCCCGTGTCTCCTTCCTGAGTCGGTGACTCCCACTGCATAGCTACACAGAAGTTTCCTCTACATGTATAATCTTTTCATTCTCTGTGACACAGAGCTCCATGGTGTCCAAAAACTGCTCAAAATACCCAGGAAAATGAGTCACACAAGTCAAGTCACAATGTTGCACTGGATGACATGTCCCAGCATTATGAAAACGGGCACTTTAGTATATTGAGTAAATCCCACCAAAAGCTGCTACACAGCTGAACATACTCAGTAGAGGAGCAAATGTGTATTAATAGACAACTTAAAATAGCCCACAACACATGCATCATTCACTCCTGTTTGAGGAACAATTGATTAAAAAAAAGTGCCCAGATGTTAAAGAAAAGTGTTTTTTTATTTAACTTTAATTGTTTAACAGTTTTTAGTGTATGTCTTCAGTAAGAACCAGTGTCCTTCACAGTAAGACAAATACTGTCCTCGTAAAACCTCTTTGTATAGATCAGTTTAAAGGTCAGATAAATCTGCAATAAAATGTGAGTTGGTTATCTCGAGGCAGAGTAAAACCCTGCACACTTTTAACTTCAGCAGCAGCGAACACACCACTGGAGATGTACACCCCACTGAAGGCCTTTACTCTAAGTGACGCCTTGTGCATCACAATTACCCACACACAGCCCTGCATCAGACCGTGAGTTGACTTTTATTTTCATGTGAATGTGGGCCGCAGTGGCAGACGATGACAGCTTAATTCCCGGGCTGGGCCCCCCCTGCTGGGGCCCACCGTTTGTGTGAGCTGACAGACGGAGATCAGACTGAGGAGAGACGAGTGGGAACCCTCAGAGTGCGCTCAGGTTTCTGGGTGCTGTGAAAAGATTTGTCCAAACTATTCATATCTGACGAAGTTTCCCATGTTCTGCACTGCAGCGGGGTTTTCGTATAATGAGCTCCTCTATCTCTCTCATCTATGCTCACACAACAGATACAGATAAAGCTGACTTTAGTTTAGGTCCTTGCTGCCAGCAGAAACTACACGCCAGTGTTGGACTTTTCTCTCGTCACAAACCAGGGGAAGTGGGGGTCCATCCAATTACTTTGGAAAACGCAGGAAACAGGTAAACAGGTGTAGAAAAAAGAGGAGTGGGGATACCAATTCGGTGACCTCAGTTTAAAAAGGGGTTGGATAATAGGTGTATTCGACCAACATGAGCAACTGAGGTAAAAGGGGTCAGAGGGAGCAGGATAAGAAGGATTAACGGTCCTGGGGAACGAAGGTTGTTTTGCTTTGATAGAGGTCAGAGGGTGCAGCAGTTGGGGTGAAAAGGAAAGGCTTCTGGGAATTGTTTTTTAAAACCTAATTTAGCTTTTATTTTCACACATACCTGAGGAATGTGGATATAGCAATGTTGACCTTCTGAAGATGACAGTGGGAAAACCTCTCTCAGGTGCTGAGATGACACAAGTGTGCTTTGTCTTCCTGCTGATGAGTAACGCCGCCTCGGTCTCCACACAGTTTAATGGATACAACTGTGACGCCAGCTACCACAGCAGGTTCCCTGGTAGGAATACTTTCACTTAACATGCTTTCTCGTTAAAATCCATACACTCTTTTGTCTACACGTATGTTACACAGGTACAACAGGACATTTTTCTCCAAGTGTTAACTGTAACTCCTCCGAAGCACATCATTATAGTATTACACACATGAATAAGGCTTTTAGTGTGTTGAAAACATGAATTAACTGTTACTATGTGTGTTAAAAAAACCTTTATGAATGCTTTAATAACTATGCCTCAACAGCGTGTGATAACCAGCCTGTATTGATGTTAACTTGTGAGTGTGTCATGTTAAAATGTGCTCCTTGAGACACCTTATTTAGCAACTACCACAGAAGCAGCTTTGAGTATACTTGTCCAGGTGTTTTTATTAATGTTGTCCCTCCGTCTATCTTTAGACTGACTTTTATAGTGTCACAACCACGCAAGAGGTAGAAACAACACTTTACAGGTGTTTAGTTGAGATCAAAATGAAAGTGGAGTACATAATGGGGGTGGTTTTGGGCTGAAAGTTGAAGAGCAGTTTTAAAAAGGGGTTATCAGTTCAAAAGATAAGGAGAAGTTGTTTACCTGTGGCAGCTTTAGCAACAGTAATTAGTTTATTCGATATTTGAAGACGCTGAGATGTGTTCCTCAGTTTAGAGGACTTTTTTTGTATTATCCTACACAATAAATGGTATGAACAAAATAACAAAAACACGTCATATATATGGATTAAATGCAAGTAATGTCAATGTCAATTAGCTACATCACATTGGCAGCAATTTTCAAATTTGGGCAACATATTCACAGATTCATTTTCCCATACATTTGTACAACTTTCACTAATAAAATAACTCCATACTTGTGGCCTGCACTGGCATGGGATAGCTGTAAGAAAATAAACACATGTATCTGCCAATACCTGAAAGCAATCATTAGCCTTTATAATTCAAATAGTTAACCCAAACCTTTTCTCTTTCTCTCCTTCCTGTGTTCCTTCAGGTGAGCGGGACATCAGTGTGTACTGTGGTGTTCAGACCATCACCTTGAAGATCAACTTCTGCCCCGTGCTCTTCTCTGGCTACACGGACACAGATTTGGCCCTGAACGGTCACCACAGTGATGCCCAGTGCCGTGGCTTCATCAACAACAACACCTTCCCCACAGCGGTCCTGTTCAGCATCAGTCTCAACACTCTGGAGGCCTGTGGTAACAGCCTGGTGGTAAAGAATACACAATCACATGACGTTAATGTAATCAATAAGCAACTGCATCTTGTTGTTAATTGACCTGGGAGGAAGAAAGGTGACATGGCTGAGATGTTTGTCTCTGCAGGTCAGCACAGCCTACGGGGCCAATGCCTATGGGAACATGTCTCTGGTACAAATTGGGAATGTCTCGGGCTACATCGACACCCCTGACCCGCCGGCTATAATCAGCTACCTGCCCGGCCTGCTGTATAAATTCAGCTGCAGCTACCCGCTGGAGTACCTGGTCAATAACTCACAGCTGGCATCGTAGGTTGCAAGTTACTGCCAAAAAACATAAAATTGTGTGTCAAAAAGAGAGATTTACCATCAGGAAATACTTATTGGATTTTACCTTTACATTTATTTATTTAATAAGGAAACAATTAGGATTTGTTTATTGTATTAAAAAACGATGATGACATAAAGTGCCTGGTTGAAACCCTGAGAGAAATTGTGTAATGTGGATTTTTTTTAATCATTTATTTAACAATTTATATTTTCTTCTAAGATTCAGCTAAATCAATATATGTGTTGTATCTATTCACAGCTCATCTGTTGCTGTATCTGTCAAGGAGAGCAACGGTACATTTGTGAGCACGTTGAATATGATCCTGTACAACGTGAGTACACTGCTGGGCTCATCCTATTATATAAAATATTTTCTGTGGAAAGGCATGCATTTTGAAGCTTTGAATGAGGAGGGGTTTTTATGTTCATAATCTTTTAATAAAGTCAGTGTACTAATTTTAAATTTTAAATTGATGATTTACTTGATATTTTATTTATTTTCAAGACCAAAACTGACAAATAATGGAATGTTTTTTTCTCTACAATTGACGTGGGCAGTGTGGTTTAGTTTGAGTCAATTCAACTAGTCCGTCTTGTTGCTGCAAATACTCACATTAGAGCACCAAATGTGTATTAATTTACCACTTGAAATAGTCCCCAAACAGCAGTGCCCAGCTGTGTTAAGAAATGAAAAGCCTTTTTCGATTTAAATGAATGCCGCCTTTACTCTTATAAATTATCCCATTCCATATTTTGAATGGAAAAACTGACTTTTCACTTTGACTTTTTTTCTTGATCAGGATTCCACCTACAATCAACCCCTGTCTATTCCAATGGCTGGACTGGCTCTGAAAACCAGAGTCTTTGCTGCTGTGAAAGCCACAAACTTAGACAAACGGTACCAGATAACATCTTATTATTTTCTACTGAATGTTGATTTTCTCATCATTTTCAGATGTCTTAAATATTGTTTATGTGGTTGGCATCTATTCCATTACAACAACAACCTGACATATTGGTTATACAAAACATCTTTCCCACCATCATTTTTAAAGATGAAGACTGTTTTTTCTATGGTTTGCCTGCATTCATTATGCCATTATGTTATTATTATACTTGAAGGCGCCAGTCTGCAGCAGAGAAAGCCCTGATCTGTGCTTTCCCATGTGCAGTTAGATCTGTATCCTCCATCAGGGCTCACAGTTTTGTCCCTCTGCAGGTGGAACATCTTGATGGACTACTGTTACACAACCCCCTCAGGGAATCCTAATGATGAATTTCGCTATGACCTTTTCTTTGGGTAATCTCGCTTTTTTCTCTCTTCAAGATAATGACTTGATAAACCACAAAAGAGAGTCATTTTCCATTCAGGCTCTCCAAAGGGCTTATCCTTAATGAATGCTACCCTTTCTCATTGAGTGCTTAAGCAAAACCTAGAAGTAAAATATGCAATTTTCAGTGTGCACATATGAGTATCTGTGTTGTTCTCTTGTGACACAGCTGCTCCAAAGACCCACAGACGACAGTTTTTGAGAATGGGAAGAGTCAGATGGGCCGATTTTCCTTCGAGGTTTTTCGTTTTGTTAAACACAGACACCAGAAGATGTCAACTGTGTTTCTGCACTGCGTCACCAAGCTCTGCCGGGCAGACGACTGCATCATGCTCATGCCGGTGAGTCCAACACTTTTCTCAGTTTGTGTCTCCTGACATCAATGAGGACTGAATTTGTATGATATGATTGGCAGATTTGTGCGAAACGACGTAGGAGGGATGGAGAGGAGAGCATTGATTCCCCACCAGTTGCATCTGGGAACGCCATCATCACAGCTGGACCAATCATCACCAGGAGTGGTATGAACAATGAAATTACATAAAAAGGAAGAGTTTGACATTTCTGGGATACATTTATTTGCTTTTTTGTTGAGGGTTAGATACAAAGATACCACTCATGTCAAACATGCAGCTACGTTCACCATTAAATATGAAGAACACTGGCTGTCAATAACCCCCTGTAAAGCACATTTTGATATTTACACCATGGTTTTTGTACAGATTAAACACACCAGAAATAACATGTTACTTGGTGAGCTTTAAAGGAGCTTTCAGGCGGTTTTGTTAGCTTACCAAGGACAATGTGTCATTATGTTTCAAGTCTTAATGCTTAGCTAAGCTAATGCTATGGCTTGTGGCGTTAGCTTAATAGATATCTATACAAAAGCCATGTCAATAAAACAATATGTTGGGGCTCTAAAGCTTGCTAATTAACTACTTTTTGTTTTCTCCCAGAGAGTTTGAATGAGGAGATTGTGAGCTTATTGCACAAAGATTAGAAACGGAGAAACCGCTATCCTGGACACAAAAATAGTCTCATATAAACTCATGTACAACATGTGTTTGTACAAATTAAACAAACATGATATAAAGTGTTAATTAGTGAGCTTTAGAGGGGCAGATTTGGTTATCTCTGGGCAGAGCAAGGCTTACTATATCCCCTGTTTAAAGTCTTTATGCTTAGCTAGGCTAACCGGGTTCAACTTAAAATCTAACAGACAAATAAGAAAATGGGAATAAGAAAATGGGATCAATCTTATCAGCAAAAAAGCAAAAATAAACATCCAGGGAGTCATTGAAGATTAGCCTGTAGCCTGTAAAAATGCTTCTAATAAACACTTTCAAAAAATATTTTCCAGATGAAACTCCTGCCAACAACTCCCAACTCGGTAAGCTTCTGTTGTCACAAATGAGAAAATGTTTTAAATATATTCTGTGACTAAGTCCTGTTAAGATAGCAGAAACCATGGACATTTGTGGAAACTATGGTTATGTTAGGCCTTCATCAAAGGACATGTCTGTTTTAAGGGTCTGCCTTTCTTCACTTTTCCTAACCCCCCCAGCGACCGGTACCCCCCCCCCACCCGATGAACCCAGTGACCAGTGCTCTGATCTCGGGCGTGGTCATCCTGGGCGGGGTCAGCGTGGGCTTCTCGCTGCTGTCGCTCCGCCTCCTGAAGAAGTCCCGCCTCCCAGCAACCTCTGCATCAGGTGTTTGGAACACCACCTTTAAATGAATAAACATCTGTAAACGATAACAACATGGTACTGACTGTATGTGAAGAATGAGTACACATGTTGGGTTCAAAATATGTATGTGTGCTTTCCTTTTTACACACATTAATAAATGTGGATATTTTATTGTTGTAGGTGTTTTGTATTTATTGCCTTTAATACCTCATTATTCTTGTTTAATTAATTGGCATCTATTGGTGGATAATCACAGTGTTTACAGAAGATGTACACTCATATATATTATGCAAATGATAAAACGTTATTCTTTAGAACTTGTAATAAAAGATTGCATCAGAAATGTTCCCTTTCTCTCTTTGATGCAACTTACGAAAATTACTTGTTTTGACAAAATGCATCTTATTTTTTCCATAAAATTGATGAAATTAGCTGATACACAAGATTAGACTGAAACCAAAACAGCTTATAAACCATTCAAACAAAAAAGGGGCATATATCTTCTGTTTTCATTCAAATAGCATTTAAGCTATAGCATTACAACCACCTGTTATGAAGCATTTTACAGTGTTTCAAAATAAAAAGAGTTACGATGTATCCCTGAATGTTGAATTCTGTTATAAGCTTCCTGTTGCATTTATAGGTTTGAAGAACATGTTTGGGATTTAGAATACACAAAAACTATAAATTGTATCCGTCTTAAGTGGAAATGTACATACTTTAAACAGTAAAAAGAAATGTCAACAATTTAGAAAAAACACTTCACCTCGATGCCGGGAGTTAGAAAAGTTTTATTATGTTACAGAATCAATGTATTCAAATGTTTTCTTTAGGAATATTGTTGCTGTTGAGTATTTAAGCTAGATAACCATTTAAACGTTTTCTTTAAAGAAAATACATATTTCACATACTGTATCAGGAAGTTGATTGTTTTCACTGTTCTCTATGTACTCAGAAAAGGACATACAGCTAAAACAAGGACAATAAAGGAAAACTAGAGAATGCAATTCCTGAAGAAATTGCTAGTGGGAATGCTTTGCTGAAAATCTGACGCTAAACTGCTATGCTGAAATGTAATGTGTAAGAAGAAAGTGAAGAATTGAGATTGAAATGATACATGAACACTGGGGGCTTGAATGTGTGATGAGAGAAGAAAAGAAAGTAAAAAGGCTTGGAAAAGCAGCAGAATATTTGAACTGCAAACTTCTGAACTAACTTGATGGCGAATGATCTGTCGCCATGCCAACGGCATTTGATGACACCCCATAACACGCTTAGATGCGTTGATGGCTGCATCGTTACCAAACCTGTGAAGTTTTGGGGCGTTTGGAGCAGTTTCACTGTAGTTATGAGAAAACTGTGTTTCATGGCGAGCATTGTGTTGGCATTTGAAGAAATCTCAAAACTGTCCCATAGATGTCTTCACGGCTGGACTGTTAGCACACTGCTATCTGAAGTCTGCTGCTCTGAGCATGTCAGTTGGAGCGATTACATCATCGTGTTCCATTACACAGGTGTTTATATTTGAGCTAACGAGGTGTGCAGAGATCACAGGTTTCCATTGTTCTGAATGAGAGATTAACCTCTTACATGTGAACGTTTTGTGGAAGAACCGTAACAGATATCTGTGAAATTTCAAAACGTGAAGCATGTCAAGGAAGTTGAGTATCTGAAGTGTACTTTCGGGTTAATAATGTGGCCTTTTTGGCAGTTTAACTAAAGGTGTGCGGCTGCTGCTGTGAGGAAATATCAACCTGAAATTATAATGGGCATTAATGGAGGCATTTTGAATGTTTTTGTCACTTCATGCCCTCAAGAGGCATTTTGTTTAATTATTTTTTGCTTAATTATTTGTCATTTTTCAAGCTACGAGATGTTTTCCTACGTTTGTCATAAAAAATGATGTCTCAGCAAGGTAGGGTTTGGGATTTATGGCAGTTTTAAAAAAATATATGAAGGCAAATTTCAAGATGTTCTACCCTCTAGCTGTGACATCACACACTCTAGTCAATGTTAAAATCTGAAGAAAACCTCTTTAACAAGGTCTGAACAATGTTTAATATCTCTAAAAGTAAGAATCAGATTTAAAAGTTGTTTTAGAAGAATAATGTCAGAAAGATGTGCAACATTTTAAAGTTGGAATGAGGTTTCTGAGTGAAAGTATGAATGAACAGTTAGTAGTTGAAGTCGCATGAAGATTTGTTGAAGTCTGAAGAATTTCTCCATTGACTTCAATGGTTAAAAATGTGATGTATTATGGGATGTATCTCTGGAATTATGAAAGTTATGAATGAGAAAAGTAATAGCCATCGATTCCCGACCGAGCTGAACGTTTTGATGTTTGAACTGAGTTTCTGCGATGTTCAATGCGGGAGAAGAAGAGGGCCAAAATAAGTCGGCGGAATAATAATAATAAACTTTTCGTCCGTAGAATAACAGTTAGTTGGAATGCTGTTAACAGCATTCCCACTAAATGATAGAGTAACACACAAACATTTAAGCACTGTATACACATAATAAATACAAATGCATTATGTATATGCTGTGTATAAACAACAAGAGGTTTTGAATAAGGAAAATGTTTTAATGTTAATGTTTCGGAGATACAATGATTTCACCAAACATTGTATCAGCAAGTTTGTGTTTTACTAAATATGCATATAAAGTACACTGTTAGTCAACATTGTGTGGCTAAGGCCCAATGATAGGCATTTTTGTTGTTGGTAACAAATTCATCTGTAATTAGGTTAGGAAAGGTTGCCATTTCCTCAATCATTGATTCGACTAAAGAAAGTTTATTTATCCCTCTTTAATATCGACACCTATCTGTAAAAGTGTTCCAAATGTCACGGCCTTGTTGGTGTCCAATCTCAAGGAAAATGAGCAAAATACCAAGCACAGCAAGAGCTCATTTGATGACTGCCAGAATTAATCTTTCCATTTTTGCTTTCCATATTGATTTTCTTTTCCGATGACCTATATAAATGTATTTTGCCGGCAGCTGCGTTTCAAGTATCTGACTCCACGGCTGTTTTTGTGACCTGCACGGCTTTGCTGCATTCACTGCTCTTTATCACTCTAATCCCTCATTTCAACAGCCATTTTGAGATGTATTCAGCGTTCACAATGACCACAGATAACTGAAATGAGAGGAATAAATGCTATCATCCACCCTCTCAGTTTATTATCAGAGATAATTGATTAAACCCTCCTCCAAAATTGGGAATGAGGCTGGGAATTGGCTTTGAATGCTTAAGTCAATCTCAGGCTAGTCACAACCAAAGAAAATGTTTTCCGAAGAATAAATATGAGGGTGTGTGTGTTGGGAAAGATGAGAGGCCTGAAGGAAGCTTATGGCATGTTTCAGTGCACACAGGATGACAATAACAATGTTTCCTGTATTTGTTTTGTGTCATGCATTTGACAGAACATTCACAAAGAAGCCCATCCTTCAACTTGACCCCAATCAGAGCTTTCTCTTCCCAGAAGGCTCACCTGACAAGATTGGGTTCCCAGCTGTCCTTCAATCATTTCACTCAAACCTCAACACTCAGTTAACTGAAAAAGATGCTAGAATAGTATTGCTAGGTCTACGTGGAGCACAACATTCTAAAAAGTAAATCTTTACTTTATTTACACTTTGAAAATAAGGAACACTTAATGGTCAAATATAATAAATGTGAGTGACATTGTTATTCTGACCAACATGTTAGATCCTGATAACATGCCATGACTGATGAGCATCAAAAGACGTTATTTAAAAGGAATGTTGTGCCGATTTATCAAATGAAACTCCAGAAGACAGTAGGTCATCTTTCCTATAGTATATTAAAACCTCTTGAGCCCCAAGCCTGTTTTTCAGGTTTCAGGCTCGAAAATGACATTTCCAGAACAAATGACCATATCTTCCCTTCTAAAAGGGTTAAATTAATAATCTTTTTTCTCAAAGTAATGATAAACCTCAAATCAGAATCAATATAGATGTTTTTTATTTTAAAGAAAATTCAGATTGAACATGGTAAAAAACTGTAAATTATAGTGATATTTTGTACTTATAGTGAAAACTAACCTTGGATGATCGGTTAGTAGACTAAAAGCTTTAGGAATCCAAAGTACAACATATAATAAGAACCCTGTATCAAGATTGATGGAAAACAAGTGATACCTTTTTAGACAGATTTAGCAAAAAAAAACCTCTTCTGGGGCCATTTGGGTGGATTTTCCTTATCTCTGGCCCCCCTTCTTCGATTTTGACATGTGACATCTCTTTCTGACCGTTAGAGCCAATATAATCGAAGGGAAATCGTCCCGCACACACTCATGTTAAAAAAAGGTAGCGACTTTGTGCATTCAATCTTGCTACAGAGCGTAGGAATGGCCTGCTCTGATATTTGAAAACGGAATTGCAGTTTTATTGCTTATAGATTATCAGAACATTTCAAAGGGGACACAGTCACATTGGATATTAACCTATGGATTAACTACAGCATAATTTTTATCGTTTTAATGCCATTGAAGACCAGTTTTGACCCGACAAAACCAAGGTAAACCATGTTAGCGTTTCAGGCTACCTAGCGCTACACATTTTTTGATGTACGTTTTTGTTGATAACGTCGCGAGTTTGTATCTTTCAGTGTTGAGATGGGCACCGTTAGATTCTGTGTCTTTACGATCATAAACGATGTGTTGGATGTGCAGCTAGGATAAGTAATAAGGGATCTAGGAGTGATCTTCGGTGCCTTTTTTCGCTCAGGGCTAATTCAGAGGGTCAGTGTTAGCATTGTGTGTTTTTTTTGGAGAAAAAAATGATAAAGATCAGTTAAATTAGTTTTTTCCCGTTATATGGATATCAAATATTTATAGTTTATTAAATATTAAGGTTCCTTAGACGTTGTTTCCTGCAAATGACGCGATTTCGGCCCCGGAACCGGGTCCGTGGGGCTTAAGAGCAGGGGCAGCAGGTACTGTAGGCTAGGGAAGGCTAAGCCTTCCCAAATATTTGTGTCACTGCATCCTGGTAAAATAAAAATATAATAATGTTTGTGTC